TAGGATCATGGCATCGACCTCCAGGCAACCCACACCCCGGTGTCAATAACTCCATGGCAGATGCCCTCTCTCAGGGGAAGATACATCGGATGGAGTGGACTTTCCACACCAGCTTGATCGAACAGATCTTTGCCAAAGTGGAAAAACTGAACATCTACCTATATACCTCCATGGAGAATGCCCAACTGCCAGTGTTCTGTACCAGATTTTACCACACACAGGCTTGGGCGACAAATGCTCTTCAGGTCAGCTGGGTAGGGATGTTGACCTGCACCTTTCCCCAAATATCCCTGATACCAGTGGTAGTTTCTAAATAAAAAAAAAGTGGTGTGGTATTCTTCTCATCGCCCCCTTCTGCCAGCCATGGTTCCCATGCCTAACCAGATTCCTCGTATGGGTGCCAACAGTCTTTCCCACTAGGCTGGATCTACTCCACCAACTGAAGTCTGGCATTCTTTACCCTCACCAAGCATCCCTACACCTGACTTTCTGGCTATTGTCAAACATTCCTTCCTGTCAGCAGGACTTTCTGATGAAGCTGCTGAGATGGCCTCAAAGAGCCGACGCCAATCTACGAGCAGCATCTATGATGCCAGATAACGGCATTTTACTTCATGGTGTTCAGAGCAAGGTCTCACTCTGACCAACATTTCTGTGACTTCTACAGCTGATTTTTTCATGCACCTATTCAAATCAGACCGACAAATTTCAACCATCTGCAACTACCGGGCGGCCATTGAGGCTGTACATGAGGGATTCCCTGACAGTTTGACTATGTCTGACAGTGATGCTCTTAAACACCTACATGTACTCCGCGGAATGTTTCTTAAGCGTCCTCTTACAAAGAGACTATTACCTTCCTGGGACTTGTCAGCTTTTCAACTGCTTGCTGGTGCCTCCCCCCACCCCTTTTGAGCCTCCCAGCAATGCATTGTTGATTAATTTGATGGTGAAACTGGCACTCCTATTAGCAGTTACTACCTCGCGCCGTGGAGTTTCTCACCAAGAACCCGTCGGTGTCCTTCCACCCTCCTGACATACATGTATGTGTACCAGACATTACTAAGCACACTGGGACTCCTGGCAACAAACCATGGTGCCCAGTGTGAACTCTTATATGGTACCTAGCCAGAACTAGAGAGCTCAGAGGTACGACATCGCAGCTCTTCATTACTACCATAAAACATCGCTGTTCAATGCGAAAATGTTACTTTACACATTAAGACGTTACTTCATGTCTGTGTAAAGTATCAGCTAAGACCCCCCCAAAAGTCTCCGGCTTCTGTTCACCGTGCATGTTGACGTAGACCTGCGTGTCGGCAAAGTAAAGAATTTTTTTATTTTGCATAAAACGGTTGCCAAAAGCCGCCAAACTTACTTGATCGGCAGGAATTCTGCTACGGAATTTTAACGTGTTTTCAATGGGTGGGAGAAGGAATCCCCCTTGGCTTCCATTCATTTCAGTCGGACACTCTTAACAGATGATGTCATTCGTGTATCTGTACACGAAGGCCATGTCGGAATCAGTTGGCTGCGGCTTGATATTGTGCGTGATTCTGTGGGAACTGGCTGTGGATGCTGCCAAATACTTCGTGTAATTTCTGGTCACTTGTCAAACTCACTACCCAGGGGGTGAGTTATGCCCCTCAGTATTTTGTCAGTCCTGTCTTTCAGTCGTCATTCGTACGCTAAGTTGAATGTTAAACGAAGTGGTCTTACATCCTGCTTACGTATACAAATTGAAAACACTTTTAAACAACAAACTATGAGGAGCCAGTCTATTTCAGTGTTGGTGAGGCAGTGGCAGTACATACGCATGCAGTGCATGAAGTGGACATGGACATTGCGTTATGACAATGCATGTAACAACTCATGCATCGTCACTTGCCAAGAGCAAAGGTAGATTAGAGTGAGAGATTTTATTTTCGGAGCTGCATTTTCCCCCCAATATTTTATATGCAACTTGTTTGTTGTAAGCTAAAACAGAAAACAATGTGCACAGTATTTCATTTACCTAATGAGAATTTTGTCTTCATTTTGACTCTGGAGCTGAACTGGTTTGATTTAGTTTTTTCATAAGCCATTTGACGTGCAACTTGTTTCCTTTAAGCAAAAGCAGAAAACAATGTGCAAAGAATGTCACCTCATAAAAATTTCATTTAAATCTGGAAATTGGAGCTGAACATTTATATTTCACATTTAATTTTTCCATGGTTGTGCTACTGTATTTCCAACAAACTCAATCTTGCCAAGAATTGAAACCTTATGTTTGAGTCAGATGACTGAAACCATCGCCTCACGTCTTATTTTATGGTCTTTTTATTAATTCAAAGTTGTTAATCTACACTTCCCATGGTAACAAGGCCATGCACTCTAAAGTACATGTATATGTGCATTCATCAATCCTAGGGGAAAAAAGAGAAAAAAAACTAGAGGTCATCTGTCTGTTTGCCAACAGAACAGAGGGTTTTTTTGCACTTGTGTTGTTAATTTGAACAACAAATCTACTGTACAAACCTGAGAGCGTAATTATTTCATCATGACCATTTGGGTCCAAGGTTTCAACCCAATCAGGCATGTACATGTACTTCAGGAAATAACATGCTTTAAAGATTGTATGTACTGTGTAATTTAATTCCTCATCTGATGACGTCATCATCACGACTACAACACTTCCTTTTCTTGTTATCTGCAAAGTTTCAACTCGATGAGATATGTACATGTACCTCAGGAGATAGAGGGCTTTAAACAGTGAATTGTTAAGGTCATGTGACTTGTCACCTCATGACGTCATTATCACATGAGGTCAGTATTTGCCTAAAGCACTACCTTTCCAAGATATCAGCAAGGTTTGAACCCAATTGGACGTACATGTACACTTCACGAGATATGGAATTTTAAACAATGCACATTTAATGTCACATAACTTGTCACAGGATCACGTCGTCATCACATCTAGTCAATTTTTTTCTAAAGCACTCCCCTTCTTAGATATCTGGAAGGTTTGAACCAAATCGAATAAGTACTTCACGAGGTATTGTGCTTTGAAGAGTGCCCCTTTAATGTCGTGTTACTTGTCATCTGATGACGTTGTCATCACATAAGGTCCATAATTGTCTAAATCACTTCCTTTTCAAGATATTTGCAAGGTTTTGACCCAATTGGGCATATATTTCAGGAGATATAGAGTTTTAAATAGTGCACCTTTAATGTCACATGACTCGTTTGCTGATGACATTGTAATATACAAATATTGTTGGGGGGGGTTTGTCATCCTCGCTTCATCTGTGTGAAGAAGTACACCACTTATGCGCTTCATGCAGTTGACTTCAGTGTTTTAGCTGTCATCTAATGAACAATTCACGCTTCAATCTGTTACGGTTGATTTTTTACCGAACTTTGAAGAATAAAAGAACTCTTTATCATAACTTCTGATCTAATGATGTCATTGACCCAAATTTCACATGTGTTAACTGGGTGAAGATCATCGTCTACAAGAATTTCCAGGCGATTCGGACAAACTTCACCACAGACATCTATTCAAAATTCATTTTTTCAGAATTTTTAATGTGCCGCTAGAGGGCGCTTGACAATTACGTGATGTCATCAGTAGATTATTTGAAGAATACTATATACCCCAACAGACTAATACCGTTGAAAAAACCTTTAGCTGTTACTACTTGTACACAATAAGACTACTTCCAGAAGGAAGGGTCATGTGATTTGACCCACACGAGATGGATTGAAGATTTTACTCTGGCACTTGCCACAAACAGAATTTTGTGGGAGACCACGGTTGATTTTATATGGATTTTTACAACATTAACGTGATACTTAAATATTCAAACTTTAATAATAAATCACTCAGTGATGGCATCATGACGTAATTATTTTAATATTCTCTGTGCCTCCAGGTCTTTCCTTTGTGCGTCTTTCCTTTGTGTAACTATGAGGACGACTGAAGATCACTAAATATCCAAAATTGGGCCTTGAAAATGTGTATAAAGTCAGTGGGCTGAAGTAAATATTAAAAATTCAATAAAAAAATCACTTGATGACGTCATCGTTCTGTGCACGTCTTTGAACTAAGGTCCTTCATTGTTCCTTCCAAAGTTGCAAAAGGACCGAAGTCGATGGCAGAAGAAACGTAGACAAAACAAATGGGCTTTTGTAAGAAGAGGAAGAAGAAGAAAGAAGAAAAAAAAAGAACTAAAAGAAGACCTTTTTTCTCAAAATTGCGAAATGCCAAAAAAAAAGCCGCTTCACTGCACCACTGTTTGACCAAGCCTTTGACCAAAAACTGGAGTCTTTTTTGGCCTAAGCCCTAATTTTTATCGGCATATTATCCAATAAATCTCGGTAGTATTAGAGTACACACAAATTATGTACATGTACTGACTGATGAAGAAATGCACAACTCTGACATGTTAATACATGTCTTATGAGTGGCATATGGTGCTACTGTTGTGTTATCTATGGATGAATAAAACATGGAAGGATACTTCCATGCTATGACAGGCATGATATTGGAGGAGGTTGGGGGAGTGTTGGGTATTTCATATTTAAGTCTACATTTATTCAGTCTTAAGAGAAGAGTTAATGAGCAAAGTGGCATGTCCATGTGGACAAAGTGGGAGACAGGGCAAGTTGCAAATGGATGAAAGGGCAAGTGGGTATAGTGGCAAATGGGCGAAGGGGTAGATGGAAGAAGTGGTAATGGCTTGGTAAATGGGTGAAGTGACAGCAAAGCCGTTGTCGGTGTAGGGGCAGAGCTGAGGTCAGATGAGGGGGCTATTTGTACAAAAAAAAAGGAACGATGGAAGGAAATAATGGTTTAAAGCCTTGGTCATGGATGCTGTCCAGTAGGAGCCTATTTGCCACTGTTAGTGCTACAGTTACGTTACCTTATCAACTGGGCCAGTATTTTTCATTGCTTCAATATCCCATTTACATCAGCCATCACAATTTCATTACGTATAAATGATTATTTTTTCTTGCAGATGGACCTAGCAACCTTTCTAATTGATCGAGCCTGCCACAACTACTCGCTAGCAAACTATTTGTACTGGTATTTACTAGTTGAGTCCGATGACCAAGACACTGTAGACACCAGGGTGACTCAGATGTACCAGATGGTGCTGAAACGATTCAATGTGGCATTAATCAGGGTAAACCCTAGTTACTTCAAGCTATATGTACATGTATGGTGCCTATGATGCCTACATTTAAGCTGAAAAACTTGAGATTGTCATAAATTGTATACTCTACTTTATCAACTAGCAGTATCCTGTGACATAATTCACATGAGGATGATCAGAGTTTGGAATTACATGTATACAGATTGGATTAAAGGCCTTGTGATGTTCATCGAGTTTAGATGTACTTGCATAATTTTCAAACAGCAAATGAAAAGAATGGGCACAATGAAAATATTGGACTTTGAAGCTGTTACTCAGCCACTTTTACTCAAGTATCTAGTGGATTTTCGCAATCTCAAAAATTTGAATGTGCCATTCATATTTTTCAAGAAGTACTTTGCATCTGGGAGATGTTAATTTTAACTATATTGATAAATCATAAACACTGCATACTCAGTGCCTCTCAGAGAGCTTGCAAAAAAATTCCCCAACTTACTCGGGTGGAACTTCAACCCACGACCTCCTGCTTACCAGTGCAGATGTCTTAACCACTCAACCACTGAGCTTGCTGGGGTCAGCTGGGCAGTCTGAGTCAGATGTAGCTGTGAGTACTGCAAACTATTTCAAGATGTGCTTTGTGTCATGGAGATGTTAATTTTAATTACCTGTGTTGATTAACACCTCTTCCATGCAAAGTACATCTTGAAATAGTTTGCAGTACCCATGGCTACAGCCGACTTGGACCAGCCAGCCGACCCCAGCAAGATTGGTAGTTGATTGGTAGTTGATGTCTGCACTAGTACAGTAAGCAGGAGGTCATGGGTTGGAGTCCCATCCGAGTAAGCTTGTGAATTCATTGCAAGCTCTCAGACAAGCACTGAGTATACATTTTTTACGAATGTACATGCACCTCGGGTAAGGGCTAAACCCGCAATTAAAATTCATATTTTTGTCGAATGTTTTTTGGAAATGTACCGAGGAGGGAGGGTAAAAAGTTCAAGGATTTGTACTGCAGGGCAGGTAGTTCTGTCAATAACCACCTGACATCAGTAAATCAAGAATCAGTGGTAAAATGACAGGTCACTGGCCACCAGACTTCATGATATGTATGTTGAGTATTTTAATTCTACTTTTAGGAAGGGAATGAAGGACTGAAGTATCGGACTCTGTTGATAAGACAACATGGGCTGACCAACCAAATACTGAAACTCATGAAGCAAGTTGCAAGAGAGAGTAGTAACAGAAAGAAAAAGGTAGGCAAGGCTAGGGAAAATTGGTTCCTTAGAAAGAAATAATTTTGTCGAAACATTTTTAGAAGCTTTTCAAAACTGGCGACAGGTATAATGGCACTTGTTGCTGGAGTATGTGCTATGTGTGTTTATAAAGTAATTGTACAGGTAGTTGATTCTTTTGTGTGTGGGGGGCGTTGGAATGGTGGGCGTTGTGCCTAGTTTTTCTAGGTTTTGGTGCCGTACTTGAAAGTTGAATAGAAGAGTAAGATTTAAGTGCTTGCAGATTTAATGTGCTGGGTTCATATATTTTGATTTGTGTTTGTAAGTTGTACATGTAAGTGTAGCTTAAAGTGAAGGTCAAGGCAAGAGCCTGAACATGAGAGGAATTGTGAGTAAATCATGAAACTGATGCACATATACTTTTGAAAACTCTGTTTTGTTTTAGTGTCATCTTTTAAAAGCAAACCAAATGTGCTAATGCCCTATCCTGGACTCATACTGGACTGCAGCACTCAGTACCTGTTTGCAGCAGTTATTGCTAGTTTGTTGAGTCATTCTAAAATTTCAAGAGACAGTGCAAACTGAGCAGGACATTCTGTTTGCCAACTTTCTTTTAGTTGCTCACATTGTACCAAACTGCATGACGGTGTACCAGAAGTCAGTGTACCAAAAGTGTTTCCATTTTGTGCAGAGTTTGGCACAAGAAGGTAAACCAAGAATGGTAAACTACAGGAAAATGAACAGAAAAATACACAGATGTGAAACGTCACAATTTTTGATTCCCAGTACACATAATAAGGGGGAGGTGGCTCCCTGACTCCTCACTCATGCATCAATACTCAACAACCATGATGCTAATCTTCTACTAATTATTCAACTTTGAAAACTGACCATGCAACTGGGATGCAAATTGATTTCCCATCACACATTCATATACCAGTATGTATGGTGCATTATACAACATTTGATGTTTTTGTTATACTATTAGATTGAACGTTTGCAGCTTCTTCTCAGTGATTCAGAGAGCACCAGCTTCAGCTTTGTTGCTTTCGATCCTTTGCCATTGCCTCTGCACCCTGAGATAAAGGTTAATGGAACTGTAGCCAAGAAAGCATCCATCTTCAAGAGTGCATTGATGCCCAGTAAGCTGACATTCAAGACAGTGGATGGAGCAGAGTACACAATGATCTGTAAGAGTGGTGATGATTTGAGGCAAGACCAACTCATACTTCAAATGATAACACTTATGGATAAGGTGGGATTATTTTTTGGACATTTGTATCAGATTTTTATGCATATGTGTTATTTCGATGCTCCCAGGCATTTTAATCGGGAGTGTTATCTCCATATGTATGCAGAATACCACAGACAATGCTGTCCTGAAAAAATTACATTATGCCAATTACTAACCAGAGCCAGGCCAGATTCATTGAAATACATTAATACAATAAAAACATACAGGGCTTCGGACCCCTCTATCCCTTAGTTGTGCTGTATTTAAATGGATCTAGATCTCACACTCACATCTAAACATCCGGGATGGCATTATTTTGTCACTTCAGTGATCATGTTAATGACAAATAATAATGGGAACAAAAAAATCAAGCTTACCTTTTTGTGACTGAACAAGAAAAGTTAATTTATGATTTTTGTTCTGTTCCAGCATAGTTTTTGCTGGCTTTTGCTGTTTTCCAAGTTTCTTGTGTTAACATTGTGTGGCCTATGTACTGGTACATGTATGTTGGGACTTATAATTGCAACTGCTTGTTGATGATTCACAGAACAATTTTTTTTTCAAAAGCAGATAATAGTATTAAGCAAAGTGGACATGCTAAAGCATCTATTTTCGATATTGCCCTTTCAGCTTCTGCGTCAAGAAAACCTTGATTTGAAATTAACACCATACAGAGTCTTAGCAACAAGCAGCAAAAGTGGCTTGCTTCAGTTCATTGAGTCAATCCCTGTAGCAGACGTCTTGTCAAATGAGGGCAACATACAGGTATGTGTCGGCCTTCAGAAATTTACCTACAACTTTGTTCATGCATGGGAATTATCTTGATGGAAGTAGAAACCAATTTTACAGTTAAAATATCATAATGAGAACAGTGTAAATTATTCAAAGAAATCAAGAGATCTTGCTACAAATGAGCAGGTACTGGACAGAGACATAAAGCAGTTGTATGTTTTTAACTTTCTTTTTGTCTTCTTGCTGCATGGTGTCCTTGTTATATGGGTAACTTTTACCATCTGCCATGACCTGTAGAGTGGGCCATTTACTTTCTAGAAATAACACAAACCTCTGTATTCAGTCTTGCAAGATGTATAACAATGTCAATTTGGAATCCACATGCAGGGAAGTACCTATTCGTATTTGCAGAACCCATGTAACAATTGGCACAAATTGTGCCCCAACCTCATGGAATGACTCATCTATGTATTCATTTTTGGTATGAGGTTTTTAGATATTTTTAATTACTGTGTTTTCCGTATCTTATGTTTTAAAGTGCTTATACATGTACATGTGTTTTGTCGATCTATTTTACTCAATTTTTAATGTACAGTGTATTTGAACATACTTTTTGATGAAATGTGCGCTTTATAAATGAATAAATTATTATTCATAAATACTTCAGACAGTTTCCCTATTAACAACGTGGAACTTGACCATGTATTAACATTGTTGTGATAATGAGATATGATAATGCCTGCTGTGGAAATCATGCACTGGTACCTGGATCTGAGACAGTGTACTCCATCCCTATTGGTCATGAGTCTGCATGTGATGCAGCACGCAGAATGGGCCAGGCACACGCCAAGTCCATATACAAAGAGATTCTGTTGGACAACTTGCAAAAGGAATACACCATAAAAATAGGTGTTCCGGAAAATTAAACTTCTAAGGGATTAAAATTAATTATTAAGGGAATAAAATAATATGTGCTTGGCTGGTCCTAAATGTGCTGAGGAGAATGGACGCAAATCGGCTCGGGCATTATCAGCATTATCAGCACCAGCCAAGCGCATATTCATTCCCATTCATAAATACCATTTTAGTCTGAGAGTCAAAAGAAGTCAATGTCTGATGGATTTCCAACGATTTTGTTCCAGAAGATTACTTTTATTTTCCCGAACACCCCCATCCAGTTTATGGTGTAGTCCTTTTGCAAGTTGTCCAATGGTATCTTCTTGTATAATATGGACTTGAAGCAGGCATGGTGCGTTCTGCGTGTTGCATCGCACGCCGACTCATGACCAATAGGGATAGAGCAAACGTCTCATATCCAGTTACCAGCGCGTGTTCAAATGTCTGAGGTATTAATGAACATGATTTATTATAAAAGGGGAGTTTGAAACTCTGCATGTTACTGTAGATTCCCGTTATAGTGCTCTCAAGGGGACCTAACAGAATTGAGCATTATAACTACACATCACTATAACCGACTGGATGAACATGCAACATGTGCAATGCACATGTGCACATGTACACTGTACTTCCATGTACATGTATAGATACATGTATCTACATGTATGTCATGTACCGGTATCAAAAAACACCACCAAATCTCTTCCAAAACTGCCACAGAACCTTGTGCATGCTGCATCGCAGCGCGCATGCATCTACACCTACCGCGACATCCTGACTGCTATTGCATGCTCATTCATGGACAGACCAATCGCTGACTTTTTCCAATAACCATGTGACCACAGAAAGTGACATGTCATCAGAAAAACCGAAGTGAAAACAGACCCGACATGTCACGCCAAATACAATGGGCAAAAAGACGAAATTTGCTCCACGAAGATACACGTAGGCTACAACTTTAAGCAGCTTATTTTATTTATCGGTAGAAAGAAACCTTTCGGTAACAAAATACTACATGTAGTATCTCAATTTTGATTATTTGCGTGCCAAACTACACCACGAGAATAAATACAAAGTGGGAATAATAATTATATCAGTGTCGCCACAGCAGAACAAGTTAAGTTTGGTTGTTATAACCGCGCCATGCAGGCACGGCTCTCCATGGTGAGCATGTGCTCGCAATCGTGCTACATAGATGGCCCAGTGCGTGTCTGCACTCTGTGTGATCACTATACTACTGGTGTCCCAGAGGACGGCCAGTCACGGTGGCCTTGTGATGCGGTTTCAAATGCGTTGATTTTCAAAGAATCTAAATTTTCAAGGTAAAGAATGCTATAACCGGAATCATTTCACATGCTTTATATGGTTGTCGGGACAAAAAATTGTGTTATATCCTGAAAAGCGTTGTAAACATGTACATGTGTAGTTTTCTTCTGGTCATCATGGAGAATTTGAAATGAACTTATTTAAGTTGTTTTGTGTGCACTAATGGCTTCTCAGTAGTTTCATATGGCTTGTGTTTTTGTATATTAACCTGTCTGAACTGATTTCCATTGGAGGACCTGCATCCTTTTCTGTAAAGCTTTAGCTCTATACCTTTGATGTACTCTGTAAAAAAGGAAGGAATTACCAGTAGGATGTTGGTAGGTCTCATTAAGAGAGCAATTCTTTGTGTTACAAAAAGTGGGAGTGAGTTGTGGGGACAAAATTGACCCCGGTTATGTTTTTGGTCCGCAAAACATCTACCTATCCATGTACATGTACACGTATATCTCAACACGTATGTTGCCCCCATAATCCAGTAACAAGTTTGCATGCTCATTCAAGTGTAAGTACTGCATTTAGTATTTCTCCATTCGTACAGATTTCTCTCCAATGTTTTCATTACTGTAGAATTTCTTCCGGAAGTGCAGCCCAGCTGATAACAATGCTGTGTATGGTATAAGCCAAGATGTAATGGATACATACGTGAAGAGTTGTGCTGGATACTGTGTTATCACTTACCTCTTGGGAGTTGGTGACCGTCATCTGGATAACCTTCTCCTTACCAAGAATGGCAAGCTGTTTCATGTTGACTTTGGTTACATTCTTGGGAGGGACCCAAAGCCTCTTCCGCCACCGATGAAGCTTAGCAAGGAGATGGTTGAGGGCATGGGCGGAGCTTCTAGTGAGCAGTATCAAGATTTCCGGAAACTCTGCTACACAGCATTTCTTCACTTGCGGAGGTTTGTATTGAGTTACCAGATGCAAAAGAATTTAAATAAATAAAAGATGGGCTCAGTGTAATGGGACTGCCCATAATGGTAAATAGAACGTGTAACTTTGTATATTCATAAAATAAGCACTTTCTGCAAAGAATCAGTGACAAGTTGCCACAAGTAATGCCTAAATAGTTTGGTTGGGTAGATGACATAATGTATACAGGAAAGGAAGCTTAAATTAACCATGCAGCCCACAACTTTGATTGTAGGCCCAAATCAGATTTTGTTAATATCTAGTTAATAAATGGAAACAAACAAGATCCAAATTCCCAACTTTAAAGTTCATCTTTTAGTGGAAATCAGTGGTCATAATGTCAATCACAATTAACCAGGGATACTCTTGTCTCATGTGTGTTTGATTGTTGTTGACCCTTAGACATTCCAACCTGATACTCAACCTGTTTTCATTGATGGTCGATGCCAATGTGCCAGATATTGCTTTAGAGCCTGACAAAACAGTGAAGAAGGTAGGTGTGTTGCGATAATTGAGCACAGAACAATATAGTCCCCACAGATTGCCTGTGTATCTGCACAAATTTCACATTTGTTATGTGTCTGTGGTATTGCAAATATTTTGATGAATATTGTCGAATGTTTTAGAACTTTATAATAATCTAATGAAAGTTGCAGTCAGTTTTCAGAAAGTCAGCTGTGTACATCAAGAGTTAATTGTGCATAATGGAAGTAATGATGAGAAT